CTCTCTCTCTCTCTCTCTCTCTCTCTCTCTCTCTCTCTCACACACACACACACACTGCCAAAAAAAAAAGAAGAAAAAAATGGGACACTGTTAATTTCTTCTCTCTTTTCTCTTATCATTGAAAGCAAAGTCTAGAAAGGCCCCAAATGTGAGAGCATTGTGTGCCTTCAGCAAAATAAAGTTGAAAAAGGAGAAGCTGCCTCACCACAGCTCGGCTGCTTCCTCCCTAGCAAGATGGTTCCCACATTCCTCTCAAGCTCTCTGTCACAGAGGCAATGCCTCTGGTCTCTGTGCTCAGGGCATACCCCAGGGTCCTGAATCCAACAGAACATGGGTCTCAGTGTCTGGGGCTGGAATGGAGGCCCCTTTGCATGACCTCACAAAGCACTTCTGTGCTTGATATTGGGCATTTTAGAGCAATCTGGGCAAAATATCTTCTATACCTGTTATATAGGTTTTATGAGAACTTCAGTGAGATAGGTGGGATAAAGGCTCATGTTTGCCGTTTGTACTTCTGTATTTGAAATTTATAATAAAATTTACTCTATTTGAGAAAGCATACTTGTGAGTGTGTGTGTGTGTGTTAAGGAGTTTGGAAGTAGACAGCTAGGCTATCACTTTCTCATGTAAGAGAAGTTGCCCTGTAATGTGGTGTTTCCTGGGGCTTCCAGGCGACTGAACCCTGGCCTCATAGGCTCAGGCTTCAGCAGGGACCAGGGGGAGACAAGGGTATCCATCTGCTCCAGAAACCTGCTTTCTCCCACCAGCCTGAGTCTTTTCAGGGTTATACCAGGTTCTAGGTCCTGGCCCTGTTGGTTGTATGCAGTGCCAGGGATTGAACCCAAGGTCCATGTTAAGCAGATTTTCTGTCATCTAAACTGTATTCTCCAAACACTGTCTAGATCTTAGTTATGGTGTTACACACATCCATGTGACTAGATGGCTAAGTGCTATACACACAATATGGATGTTACATTTGAGGGTTTTAGATTGCTCTACCATTTTATCCCTTGGTGAACTGGGTTATATCCCTTGGTGCTCTGGGGAGACCTTGTGAAGAGTGTAAAAATTCCGATTACCTTTCCAACCTCCCAAAGATCTGTAATTATCTCAAGATAGAAAGTTTTAGAGTGGGCTGGAGAGATGGCTCAGAGGTTAAGAGCATTGGCTGCTATTCCAGATGCTCTGAGTTCAGTTCCCACATGGTGGCTCACAATCATCTGTAATGAGATCTGGTGCCCTCTTCGGGCCTGCAGGTAGAGCACTGTATATATAATAAATAAATGAATCTTTAAAAAAAACAAAGTTTTAGAGCTAGTTGAGATGGTGTGCCTAGAGTCTCAGCCATTTGTGAGACCGAGGCAGGGGGTCTCCTTGAGTCCCACGGTTTAGGAAACATAACGAGATTCTGCCAAAAAAAAGGTTTTAAAAATTAACTTTTGTTTTTTCGAGGCATGGTTTCCCTATGTAGCCGTGACTGTCCTAAACTTGCTAAGTAGAGCAGACTGGATTCAATCCACCTGCCTCTGCCTCTGCCTCCTGAGTGCTAAAATTAAAGGCGTACACCACCATGCCCAGCTCGCAAAACTTGATTTTTGGAGGATCTGCTTGTTCTGTAGGACCAGGCCAAGGCAGAATATGAAAAGTCAGTCATGCTCTGTTCTAAAGGAAATTAGACTCCAGTAGCAGAATCAAGATGCAAATGCGGGAAAGTCAGACCACTCAGGAACCAGATGCAGAGCTCTGGGCAGCCTGGATGCTGGCTGGACCAAAGGCGGCAGATCCCACATAGCCGCACATCCTGAAGACAGGACTCTCAGAGGGGTGTGGAGGGGTCAGCGAAAACCCTAAGACGGGAGAAGCAGTAAGAGAAAGATTTGAGTTGCTGATGCAAGTGAGAGGCACGTATAGGATGGAGAACGGAATGGTCAGTTAAGACCTTCGGGGCTCAGCAGAGACGACCGGGGCCAAGGGTCTCAGACTGCAGCAGGGCCGTGGCTTAGGTCTGGCCAGGAAGGAGCGCTAGACTGAGGGAGCAGGGTAGTGACTGCTGTAAGGTGGATCCGTCAAGGGAAAGGCCGGGCTGCAATGTCTGCCTTAGGAATCTGCTTGAAGGAGATGAGAAAGGAAGTGGGGAGCTGGCAAGAAGTGACTCTGTGGTCTCCACACTTCCTCTTTCTCGGATCGTCAGATCGAACCCCGCTGGGCTCACTCCAGTGTAGTCCACCCTACGGCTGTCTCAACATTTCAAGGGCTCAATCGCTACATGAGGCTGGTTGCCACGAGACGGACCTACTCTGGAGCCCGGCGACTGCAGGTCACTGTTCCTGAGCCAGTAGCATCAACATCACCTCTCCTGTTAGCTACAAGGCCTCTGTCTTTGACGGGGGCGTACTGGAAATAGAATATACAGAATCCCTGTGCTTTTTTACTTTATTTCTTTAGATTTTTATTTTATGTGTAGTCCTGGTTTGCCTGCATGTATGTGCACCACATGCATGTCTGATGCTCATAGAGGCCAGAAGAGGATGTTGGATCCCTTGGAACTGGAT